ATATTCAAAATAATAACAAACTAGAGGCTCTAAAGAGCCTGTGTCGCTCACCTTGGTCTATGTGCATATTAAACAAAGGACACAGATGGATTCATGACAAAATTGTGTTTTGGTGATGGTGATGTGTTTGTAGATCTTACTTTACTGAACATTCTTGCTGCTTACAATTATCTCCATCTATAATGAACTTGGCCCAGTAGTTACAGTGGAAAATATTTTGTAAAAATTTACAAAAATTTACAAAATTTATGAAAATTGTAAAAAATTTACTATAAAGGGCAATAACTTCTTAAGGGGTCAATTGACAATTTTGGTCATGTTGACTTATTTGTAGATCTTACTTTGCTATATATTATTGCTGTTTACAGTTTATCTCTATCTATAATAATATTCAAGATAATAACCAAAAGCTGCAAAATTTTCTTAAAATTACCAATTCAGGGGCAGCAACCCAACAAAGTCTTGCCTGATTGGTCTGAAAATTTCAGGGCAGATAGATCGTGACCTAATGAACAATTTTATCCTCGTCAGATTTGCTCTAAATGTTTTGGTTTCAGAGATATGAGCCAAAAACTGCATTTTACCCTATGTACTATTTTTTAGCCATGTCGGCCATCTTGGTTCACGGGCGGGGTCATCGGACACATTTTTTAAACTAGATACCCTAATGATGATTGTGGACAAGTTTGGTTAAATTTGTTTTAGTAGTTTCAGAGGAGAAGATTTTTGTAAAAGATTACAAAAATTTACGAAAAATGGTTAAAAATTGACTATAAAGGGCAATAACTCCTTTAGGGGTCAACTGACCATTTTGGTCAAGTTGACTTATTTGTAGATCTTACTTTGCTGAACATTATTGTTGTTTACAGTTTATCTCTATCTATAATAATATTCAAGATAATAACCAAAAACGGCAAAATTTCCTTAAAATTACCAATTCAGGGGCAGCAACCCAACAACGGGTTGTCTGATTCATCTGAAAATTTCAGGGCAGATAGATCTTGACCTGGTAAACAATTTTATTCATGCCAGATTTGCTCTAAATGATATGGTTTCAGAGATATAAGCCAAAATCTACATTTTACCCCTATGTTCTATTTTTAGCCATGGCGGCCACCTTGGTTGGTTGGCCGGGTCACCGGACACATTTTTAAAACTAAATACCCCAATAATGATTGTGGCCAAGTTTGGTCAAATTTTACCAAGTAGTTTCAGAGGAGAAGATTTTTGTAAAAGTTAACGACGACGGACGACGACGGACGCCAAGTGATGAGAAAAGCTCACTTGGCCCTTTGGGCCAGGTGAGCTAAAAACTGCAAAATTTTGTTAAAACTACCAATTCGGTGGCAGCAACCCAACAATGGGTTATTCGATTCGTCTGAAAATTTCAGGGCCAACAGATCTTGACAAATTAAACAATTTTACCTCGTCACATTTGCTCTAAAAGATTTAGTTTTTGAGATATAAGCCAAAAACTGCATTTGACCCTTATGTTCTATTTTTAGCCATGGCGGCCATGTTTGTCGATGGATACAAACTTTGGATACAATTTATAAACAAAAAACCCTAAGGAACATTTAGTTAAAGTTTGAAGGTAATTAGCCCAGTAGTTTCAGAGGAGAAGATTTTTAAATGTTAGCAAACTTGATGAACAAATTATATAAAGTTGTCTTTAAAGGGCAATAACTCCTTAAGGGGTCAATTGACAATTTTGGTCATATTAACTTTTTTGTAGATCTTACTTTGGTGAACATTATTGCTAATTACAGTTTATATATATATATCTATAATAATATTCAAAATAATAACAAAAAACTACAAAATCTTGTTAAAACTACCAATTCGGTGGCAGCAACCCAACAATGGGTTGTTCGATTCGTCTGAAAATTTAAGAGCTGATAGATCTTGACCAACTAAACAATTTAACCCCATATCAGATTTGCTCTAAAAGCTTTAGTTTTTGAGATATAAGTCAAAAACTGCATTTGACCCCTATGTTCTATTTTTAGCCATAGCGGCCATGTTTGTCGATGGATCAAAACTTCGGATACAATTTATAATCTAGATACCCTAAGAAACATTAAGTTAAAGTTTGAAGGTATTTGGCCCAGTATTTTTAGAGGAAAAGATTCTTGAAATATTTAACGACGACAGACGACGACAGACGACAACAGACGACGACGGACGACGACAGACAACGGACGACGACGGACGCCAAGTGATGACATAAGCTCACATGGGGCCCTTCGGGCTCCGGTGAGCTAAAAAGGAAGAATAGTCGGTGCATAATCTTCTGCTACCAAGGGTTTTTCACAAGTATAGTAGTGAGAAGAAAAGTTCCACTTTCCAAAATACACCAAACTATACATTTTACCTACTAGTATTTCGTGAAGTAAAATGCAAATTTCATAAGGCTTGGTCCAAATAGATTTTGACTGTCCAATATCTTGCAAGTACGAAAAAGACCGTTCGAAAGTATATTTTGTCTATGTTTTGTATTTGCACAACTATTGAAAGTTGACCATGCATTCGTTCTAAAATAAAATTTCACACAAGATAAAAGTTAACAGATACTAAGTGAAAAAAAATATAGACAACCGCAATGGGTTAATCGCTGTGACGTCCAAAAAAGAAAATAGCCAACACATATTGTAACTTTTAAAGCTAGTTAAATCAATTTATATGTTTAACGAACGTGCAATATCATACAAATTGTTTATCAAAACATAACAAAAACGGAACGTTTAAGTATTCAATATTAATCAAAGCACAAAGGTTATTCCTGTACTTCTTTTATGCCCCACCTACGATAGTAGAAGGGGCATTATGTTTTCTGGTCTCTGCGTCCGTTCGTTCGTCCGTCCGTTCGTCCGTCCGTCCGTCCGTCTGTCCCGCTTCAGGTTAAAGTTTTTGGTCAAGGTAGTTTTTGATGAAGTTGAAGTCTAATCAACTTGAAACTTAGTACACATGTTCCCTATGAATTATAATGACAAATTAGAGTGTTGACCCCAATTTCACGGTCCACTGAACATAGAAAATGATAGTGTGAGTGGGGCATCCGCGTACTATGGACACATTCTTGTTTTCGAATGTTTTTTTAGCCATTTAGAACCTTTGGTAACCTCATAGTTTAAATGTCCATAATTAATACGACGTGATAAATGGGCGTTACAGACGACCGTTCACCTAATTTAACCCAGTCAATGGGAGACTTGAGCGCGCAAAAAAATGGTCTCGTCCACACTGTTATGAAAACGATACTATGTTAAGATCCCTTTTGGTCATGAAGTTCTGCGTGTTTTTAATATATCCTTGCTTTCATATTTGTGTTCTTAGTGTTTTTGAGGGACCAAATTAATGCCTTCTAAAACGGCAACTGTATACCATGTCCTCTTCTCAAAATGAATTTGCAGTAATTGAATAACATTTAGGGACCCCGATTGGTCAATTTGTATCGCAAAAAAATAAATGTTGGAAAACCTAAAAAAATACCTTTAGAAGCAATAAATCACTAATTAAATTCCTCATCAGAAAATCTTTTATATATTTACGGTTTTGGTGATAAGTCCTGTTCTGGCATAAAAAAAAAACAACAGATCTATAGGAAAAACTGTTTTATAATCATTCTTGCAGTCGGGGTGGAGGTAATAATGCCAATCCATTGTGAGAAGTGGAGCATGTCAAGACTTAATTCAGACAGCAAAGGTGTGGGGAAACTTGTAGATAAATGGATGTAGATTTACGTCATATTGAGTTTTATTTGTCATTTCATAAAAAAGCAAGTTGAATACCTTTTGCTATATAAAGAATTCAAGGTAAAACAAAAATCAGAGATAAGTGTCTGTATTCACACTTCCCACATTTGTAAATCAAAGTTGACCGTAGAAAATTTTCCTATTGTCAAGTTGATTTATTTCCATACTCCACAAATATCTTTGCCTCATTGACTTATACATGATGTAGTTTTCAGCGTTCCTATTAAAGGTTATTCCAGAAAAACCATTCGAAAGCACCTAATTTACAAATTCGAATAAACTAACAGCAAACTGCGTTTTAAAAATTGAACACTCTTTCATGGTGAAATAGAGAACATATAAAACATCGTTTTCTGCAGTTGTTTCAAATCCAATACAATATTTAGCCTATGATGAAGAGATGACCAGGCTTCATAAAATCATTTTGCATTCTATTCATCTGAAAGATGTTATAATTGAAAACTATCACTTCGATTTAACAAGCAATGAATTATTGTATTTATTTTAAAATGATTAATAGGAAAATTACAGCAATAAATAGAAATGAATGATGCCCCCTCTCCTCTCCTCTGCCAAACGAATGAGTATAGTTCCACATACAAACAGTGATGTTGAAGTACAAATTGAAATTGTTGCGCTGTCTGTAAGACACAAATTGTACATCGCCTGACCATAGGAAATTATAAATTTAATGTGTAATGATCTATCTTTTATTTTAATTTTGAATTTCTACACTTGCAGGACTTAATGTCCAGCCAAAAGGTGTTAACTTTCCAGAGTACTGTCAGCTAAAAGTTTTCACCCGGTATTGATTAAATATTTGACAATACTAAAAATGTCTTATTTATATCATTTGGGACATTAAAATCTTACAGAAGTAGTACAAACCATGTTTTCCTTTATATTGCAAGTGAGAAGGAGATGAAGTCCACCTACCGGTTTTTGTGAATATCTAACATCCCCTTTTCTGACTTTAATACAAAATAATTCGACTGGCATTTTAAGAAAATTGAAAAAAATCCAAATCCTGTGGACATGCACACTTCAATTATGTGTACAAACAACCTTCACAATATTAAAGCTGTAACTCAAAAACTGTAGTAGGGGATAGCCGGACTATCATGTATCTATATCCGGAAGTACGAACGAACGAACGAACGGATGTACGGTCGGACGGACAGACAGGGGTAAATTGATATACCCATCGACACTTTGTCGCGGGGGCATAAAGCATGACAGGTAAAATAAACTGTCCTTGGTTTTATTAAATATTACAGGATTATATCACGCACGCGTGTCGGCAAAAGAGCATCTCCATCACGATGCGTTCTTGCTCGAGATCTTTTGTTGTCACAATACAGGCTTGATGCAGCTTTCCAGGTGTTGTGTGGCATTATGTTTCTAAATTTATCATATACGTGAAAAAGTCCTAGAACATCTACAGCTGCATATTTCAGCATACTTTCACTCAGGGGTCTTTTTTCCCATATTTTGGTTGTCCATAGCATAATTTGTCGTCCTTGTTTTTTCAACCTAAGGAGAGTACTGTTAGACGGAAAACTTTCCAGGCATGTCTCAAGACTTGCCAATAACGTGTTATGTCTTTTTCTTTTCATCCTGTTCCTCGCTTCTAACAATTGAACATCTAGTACTCCGTCCAACTTTACTTTATACAGATGAAATAAAGCATCCGCGTCTTCTCGACAGTCAAACATCAATTTTTCAATACTATTATTTTCAAGTATACAGCGAAGACCGTCATCAAATACGCTATTCCCTATCCTCAAAACATCAATTAAATAGACCATATCTCTAGTACCTATATTAACCATCGTTACGCATCCAAATCTGGATAAGTCTACCCCTTCACAGTCCAATGATATGGTTTTGCCGTCTTTAATCATGTTGTTAAGCTCATTGATTGCAGAGATGTATTTTTCTTTCGTGTCAATATACTTGTAAGAACTTGTTTCGTTTATTCCTACTTGTATTGTCCTGCTTTGGGTTATTTCTCCTGCTGATTCTCTCCTATATAAAACATCTTCTGCGTTGGAATCGCTAGTGTTATTTTCGTTGCTGGTTGAACCGTCGGATTGCTGTTGTTGATTTTCGTTGTCTGGTTCGGAATTACGTAGGTGTATTGGCCCGCTTTGGGTTATTTCCCCTGCTGATTCTCTCCTATATATACATATAAGATTTTCTGTGTTGGAATCGTTAGTATCATTTGCATTGCTTTCATTTACAGAGGTATCGCTACTAGCTGAATGATGTTTTAGCTTCTTATTGCTGGTTGGACCATCGGATTGCTGCTGTTGGTCTTCATCATCTGGTTCTGATTTACGCTTGGTTGCCATTGTTATCTATGTTATAAATAAAAACAGTAATTAAAACAATAAGCAACTTTTAAAATAAAACCAGTCAATTTTGAATAAGAAAAAAAAACGTATAGCTAGTAAATTATGTCTCGTCGATGAAATATAACTTTTTAAAGCATTCAATAGTTTTTCTAACCTGCAGTGATATATAGCAAGATGCTTTATAGAACGCGTAAAACATTTCCACATGGAATTGGAAAAAGTGTGGAAACAGACTTTATAGCTGATTATGCGGTTTGGGTTTTTCTCATTGTTGAAGGCCATACGATGACCTATATTTGTTAACTTCTATTTATATTGTCACAACAACCTTAGATCATCTTTTCATGAAGCGAAGGGTGATTTATTATTGTTTAACGTCCAATGGGAAATAGTTCGTGCATATTCAAGTTGAGAACACATTAACAATAAATGTAATAGATACTAGTAAGTTGTGCAGGATAGGTTGACCGGCAAAAAGGCGAGAACACCGGCTATCACTAGAAATGGGATAGAATCAGGCCATCTACGAAGTTGCGGCATTTTTGTTAAATATTGTGTACCCTTTTGTGGTTTGAATGCTAAATATATGGAAATTTTATAGAAAATCCACAACCTTTCTCCGTGTACTCTTATATTTGACAACTATGTACTAAATAGAAGGTGAACTAAAAAATGCAGTGTTAGCAATTATCTCCCTAAAACAAGTTTTGAATTGAAGATATTAGGGAGCTACCATTTTATTTTGATGGGGGGGGGGCTAGGATGAAATGTGAAAAAAGGCAGGACAGGAGTTTTGAGTAAAAAAAAAAAAGAGGCAGAATGAGCAACTTTGCAAAAAAAAAAAGGCAGGATAAACTAATAAAAAAAGGCAGGACCGAATAGAGTGAAAAATAAAAAGGCAGTACAGAGATTACAACCAAAAAAAAATGCAGGACACAATTTTTCATCCTAGCCATTCAATATTTTTGCTGTTTTGATATTATCACACATTCAAGGCTCTACAGAAGGGGTCATAAACCTTATAATTAACGTGTAAAGAGTTGGGCATGCACTTTCTATAAGGCTTCGGATTTAAGGAACGTTACTTTTTATTCAAACATGGGACCTTAATGCTATTTGATACAACCATGCTCAGCCGAACGGACTCACCATTTTCGCACGGGATGACCATATCACGATACTTCAGTCAACCAGAAGGTAACTTTTTTTACTAAGTTTTAAAAAAAAATAGAAAAAATCAAAACTCGCAGTATCGAACAAAAAAAAGCAGTTGTTTGACGATATATTTATGTACGATAGGCGCATGAATTTTCGATTTGAAAAAACTGGCAGTCAGAGGACATGAATGATTTTCGACGGAACAGAGTAAATTCAGAAAATAATAACACTTGAATGATCCAGACTGTGGCAGATGAGATCGTTTTACCGATACATGTACAAGGCTCCTTCTTTTGCATTGTAATAAAAAATGTAGCAGTGGCGCAATCAGACTCATCAGGTCGGAGAATGACATAAAACATTACCAGACACAAACAAATTTTTCAAAAAATACATGCATAAAAAGCAATATGTGTATGGTACATGTATAAGTCAATAGACAATAACCCAATGACTCGAATAACATATATATTTACTCTAGCTTTAATCTTGCTCCTAGTAAAAGGCATTTAGTTTACATGACAAATGAAGCTTATGGGGGTCTTATATAGTCGACTATACGGTATGCTTTTATTTAATCGATGTTGAAGGTCGTACAGTGACCTATATATACTTAAATCGCCTTATTTGAACTCTGGTGGAAAAATTCTCATTAGCAATCATACCACATCTCCTTTTTTTATATTGGCTTCTATATCATTTTAAGCACAGTACAGTAGAGAAAATAAATGTGTTGCAAATTAATTTCCTTAATGAGCACTCTTCAATAGATACGAATGAATAGTTTAATAGTTTTTAGCAATACAATGCTTTGTTGGTTTGGTTTTTTAAAGCCTTTTATCGTTATCAAAAATAAGTTTTTTTTTTAAATTATTCATTTGATGGATCATGTGGATTGCTTCGAATTAATCAATTTGATATATGCATTCGCATTTTGTTCCTACCTTTCAGTTTATAGATTTCCTCAGACTTTCTTTGAATAACACAAACAAAATATTATACAGTTTTTTCTGAAAATTGTAGATATGCTAAATGCAAGTAAGCCTAGCCATTTGATCTTTAAATTCGGTTCAATTTAAAAACGTTATATGATATCGTGCATTTATGGATACATGATTAATTAAAGAACTAGTATGTTTGTTGAAATATATCAGTAGAATCAATATAATATATATTAATTTGATACCAGTTCCTACTTTACAATTTTGAAAAGGCATAGTTGAACTTTGAAAGCGTGTCAACTGGTATACGGGATTTGAACTACAACGACCAAACAGACATGAAAGCGATACATAATTGATTTTGAACTAAATTAATTGAGGGTAATGAAATATATAAATGCTTGATTAAGTTAACAATGCAAATGCGCGCGACGCTTATTACGGAATAACCTTATTCAGGTACGCTCTAGATCATACAATATGGAAGCCAGAAACACAAATAATGCAATACGTGTGTAAGTGTTATATTAAAATTTTGATCAAACTAAATAGGTATATCAAAACCACAGAGACGCTGTTAGCTGATAATAAAAATGGTAATTTGAATTTTCAATTGTATTTTCTCTATTTCCTGTCCAAAAGTATTAAATTAAATTATCTCAATACTACTAAATGTTTAACAAGAATAAAAATTAAAAATCCATATTGGCTAAAAGTCCGGTACATTAATTTTCGTTTTATGGTCTATTTTAGAATTGTGTCTGGTGACATATCCCCGGCCATCCAGAATGTCTGGAATTACTATAGATAACTGAAACAATAAAACACATATATTATATGCAGATGTGAAATATTATCAGTTGTTTTTCCTCTTTTCTGTTGATCTATATACTTGACATGATTGAAGTCCCTCAGACTTGTAAATTATTATTTGATGAATTTTTTTTTTTTTACGTCCAGTGGTAGGTATTCCGTGCATTTCTAGCCTAGGACAAGTTAACAATTACTTCCTTAGGTAGGTTCCCCGAAAAGCTCGACCAAGTTGAAGATCGAGCGAGAATTTCGGCTGTCACTGGAAAACTAGGATATGTTGGATAGGGCGCATCAATTTTACCTTGCAACAGGCCACCTACAGATAACTCAAGGCCTTGTTGCAAGGGTTTATTAACGTGCAAATAGTTTGGCACTCTCTTTATCTCTCTCTATACGCGAGACGTATACATGTATTTCAATGTCCCCCATTCCGACTGGACGTGGCTACGTATTTATACCTCCCGCATAGTCAAATGGACGATCCACTTTCGCCAGAGTTGTACCGAAGGATGGGAGAAGTCCAAGGAGGACCGTATGTCTATACCCCAGTCAACCTTTAGGGTTTTCGAATATTTCACTTAAATTAGTTTTATAATTGAGTGTATTTAAAAATCTAAATGAAAAAAATTATAATGTTGTGTTCATGATCGGTTTAAAGATATACTTGTTTTCTCCTTTGTTGTAGGTTCAGGATATTACATTATTGTTTTCCTCCAAACATTTCCAATGATCTGGTCCATTACATATGACCATCACATATGTACTTGTGTTCTTACTAGAAGCGGATTGAAGTGGTTGTTTCAAACAAAACGCACACATGAGAAAGTCTATTTAAACTTTACATTATCACTGTATCTAAACTACCCCGGCGAAAAATGTTTGGACTCAATAGTATCTAATGTCCGGTACGGTGACGGACAATAAACAGACAGAGAAATGTAGAAATTCTGTTTATTTATTTGTTGTTTTAATGATATTGAAGAATATACATACACATATAACTATTTTCGATAGTGTGATGTAATATTTTCTACCACCGTTCTAGATTTATGGAGAAATAAGTAAAAATGCACATCAAAATGGTGAATTGAGTGAACCCTGCCTCGAATTTGTTTAATTTCTCTTTAAATTTAGCACATTGTACGGAAAGAAAGGTACGGAAAGAAAGATATTAACACGGAGATTTCAAGACTTTTCACTATGATCGCCTCAATATTTGCATGTCTGTGCATGGAATGAAAGAAGTGGGTCATGTTAAAATTGAAGCACCCGGTTTTGTCAATGTGTACGACCCGGTTTTGTCCTTGAATTTCACAAAGCAGACCCGGTTTTGTCATAGAAAATAATGCATAATCGCATGACGAAAATTAAAATATGGCGTTTAACAGCAGTTTGAGGGATCGTTGAAAAACATTTTCTTTCAGAGGATAACTTATAACCTTTTTGAATCCGCAAACACTTGAATTCCTGCTATATTAGAACAAAGCAAATTTCAATTTTGTTTTGTATAAAAAAAAAAGGAAAAATTAAAAAGAAATGAAGGTTTTGAAACGGAATTAGTTTTTTTTATATCTATGTAAATTTAAGTGTTCAAACTTAATTAGTGTACGGCCTTGAAAATTTAAGGACGCACATTTGATATGTGATTTTTTTGGGACAACAAGATGGTTATCTTAGTGTTCCGCTCTACTTAAAGAGAAGACAGTATAATCGTTTGAAAATAAATATTCTGAAACTAAACGTTCATTATAAAGCAAGAGAATAAGACAAATGTACGTGCATGCAGAATCGACCAAGAAAAGGAATTTCCATGCGGCGCAAAGGATCACAATAATAGTGCGTTAAAAATCTGTTTACCCCTCCTTGTTATAATAATACTAAGTATAAATTAGTATAAAAGTCTTGGGCCATCCGGAAATTGCAATAATGATTATTTGATTAGTAATTTATATAAATAAACGATGTTTTATCTCTCTTTTTTTTTCTTTTCTTTTTTTTCTTTAACATTAACAAATTCTTTAATGCACTAGTATCAAGTTGTTAACAACTGCCCTATATAGTACAACTATTATATATAGGTTTATCTCTTCATTGTATATTGATTATCGTACATTGACAAATGTTCTACAATTTAAGCAATTAGGTCAAGTTTAAAATTGTCAATATGCAAGGGCGGACCGAGGCCATGATTTTTGAAAGGGACGTATTCATAAACGGATTTTTTACCGCCGAGCATAGCAAGGGGAACCTTTTTTAACGATTTTTTGCTAAATAAAAAATCATATATAAATCGTAAAAAACATGATAAATAATTATTTCTAGCCACCAAAAAGGGGGGGTCGGCGTACTCCCTCTACTCCCCTGGATCCGCCACTGATATAATGTAACTATATCGTATACCATCATAAAATTTAATAAAAGACGAAAAAACAGAGACAGCCGCCAATCCCATATTTACTATAGGGGCTCTGTAATCAAATGAGTTTAGCCTTTTTCAACTCACTGAATTTTATAGTTAAACTTTGTTCATATGTTGTGCTGTTATACCACTTTTTTTTTTTTGGAGGGGGAGCGTGGGGGGGGGGCTTGCACGTTCAACCTCGCCATTCTGTATGTACCAGTACCGAATTCAGGAGCCTGTAAATCGGTTGTTGTCTTTTGTTGCTATATATCATACAATCATGTATTTGTTTTTCGTTTTTTATTTTGTACATAAATCTAGGTCGTTAGTTTCCACATTAGTTTTTTTTTACAGTTTTCATTTCGGGGCCTTTTTTTAGCTTGCTATGCCGTATGGACGTTTCTCATTGTTGGATGCCATACGGTGTTCTATATTTGTTAACTTATACGTCATTTGGTCTCTGATGGAAAGTTGTCTCATTGTCATTTTTCACGGGCTAAATTACCTATTAGGTTGCTCTACGAAGACGAAGACGAAGATATTGGACGTTATAATGTTTCAAACCAACTTTTATTTATAAAAAGAAATAATTCTTTCATGCCATGCTCAATGCTCATTTTAACACAGGAAGGCATTATATTTGTTAAAATTTTTAAACCAAGCGTTAGCCAGGTATAAAATATTGACAAATATAATGCCTACCTATGTTAAAATGAGCGTAGAGCATGGCATGATAGAATTATTTTGTTTCTAATGGGGAAGTTTAGAACTTGTGTATTTCGAAGCGGACATAAAATACACGTTCGAAAGGCAACCATTTTGATTGAGATATCCAAAACGTTCTAATAAATACAAGAAGATGTGGTATGAGTGTCAATGAGACAACTCTCCATCCAAGTCACAATTTGTAAAAGTAAACCATTATAGGTCAAAGTACGGCCTTCAAAACGGAGCTTTTTCTCTCACTGTCCGTCAATGGATGAACGAATGAGTAAATATATTGTAAACATAGCGTATAGTGTAGTAAAGCATACTATCCTTACTCTTTTGATAAATTGATATGGTAACCCAATCATTCCACATCTTCTTATTTTTACATCATTACAGAAGAATATAAGACAAACAAACATTTTTGAGATGTATTTCTAGTTGTATCCATCAGATGACTTAAGCCTTTTTCAACTGATTTTTATAGTTCGTTCTTATGTTGTACTGTTACACCAATTTCCTAGGTTAGGGGGAGGATTGGGATCCCGCTAAGATGTTTAACCACGCCCCATTCTGTATATATTTACCTGTCCCAAGCCAGGAGCCTGTATTTCAGTGGTTGTCGTTTGTTGCTGTGTTACATATTTGTTTTTCGTTCATTTTTTTGTACATAAATTAGGCCGTTAGTTTCCTCGTTTGAATTGTTTTACACTTGTCATTTGGGGGCCTTTATTGCTGACTATGTTGTATGAGCTTTGTTCATTGTTGAAGGCCGTACGGCGACCTATAGTTGTTAATTTCTGTGTCATTAGATCTCTTGTGACGAGCTGTCTCATTGGCAATCACACCACATCTTCTTTTTTCTATCATAAGGAATTAATGTAAGTACATGATATAAAGTATCAATCTAATTAAAATATAGAACTCGGATTTCGTTATACTGCATATATATGCGTATGCAGTATAACGAAATCCGAGTTCTATATTTTAATTAGATTGATAAAGTATTTATTTCCATTTAAACTTAGTTCGAAGATAAGATCAATAAGGTATACGTATAGCATTCAAAAATGTCTACTCCCTATTTCGAAAAGTTCCCGTTTGAAATATATTTTAACACATGTTTGTATTGCAATAACATCTTTATAACATCTTTTTGACTCAAATATTTAATTTCTTCCGATGGGCAATGTCCAGATCCGTGCTAACGTAGCTTTTCATAAATTTGTGGTTTCAAAACAAA